ACCATATTCATCATCAACATCAAGTTCACACCATCTCCATCATCTCCACAAGTTTTGCGATAACACATACATACAAGGGGAAATTTTCAAACTTAGTTTTTCTTTATCCATTCATTATATTTCAATTATGTTTTTATATTCATATTCCATATATTATCACATATCTAACACCTATATTGTTGTTTCATTTCATGTCAGAATCAATTTTTTCAAAAACCCTAATTTGGCTATGTTATCGTATCATATCTTTTCCTTTATCTTTATGCTTATATTTCCCTTATCTTATTTTTGTCTTAATCTTCTATTTGTCTCAATTTCCAATAACCTAATTCTTACAAACTATCTCCTCATCGTCGCCCATATAATCTCAATCTTTCCCTCTCGTTCTTTGACTGAGTTTAGAGCTTTCTAGGTTTGATTCTTCAACAAGAGCAACATTCAATCATCTGTTACCGTTTCTCTATCATTGTGTCAAAGAAGATGCTTTATAAAGTGATAAAGGAGTGGTGAGAGAACCAAACTATCTAACAGTTTGCTTTGCTATACAATTATAATTATATCGATAAACAACATTTTACCAAAGAGAGGATCTAACTATACATGATTATTGACTAACCAATCAAAAAATGAATATCGTGATGGTTTATGCGTAAACACCAAAATGACCACGAAGGTATGCAAAAAACATAACAAAAGTAATAAAAATTATGTCACAAGAACAAAGAAATCATGTGCCACAAGAGCAAATAAATTCATATTAGAAGGACATATTATTATTCAAATTAAAAAAAACTCAAGAAAAAAAGAAAAGAAAAGAAAAGGCCTAGTATGAAAAAAATAAAAGAACTAATAATCAATGACAATCGACAATAAATATTAAAATTAGTATCGTCATCGACTAAACAAAAATAAAAGAAAAAAAATGGAAGGCTGTATAAAAAAATTTAGAAAGAAAACTAGGTGAAGAAAATAGAGATTATAGATTCGATCTAAAGGCAATTTTAATCTATTCATTTTTAAAAGAAAAAGAAAAAAAATTGGTCAGAAACAAGTGAGATTCTAAAGAACAGTAGAACACACTTATACATATATATAGTTTTGAAGAAATTAAAGAAAATGCCAAATAAGATATGTCCTTGTTGCCTGTTCAATGTATGCCAATAATTTAGTGGATACAAAAATTTTAATCATGAGGAAACGACACTGAAAACGAAGAAGATTCCAACCAAGCCCTACTTCTCTATGATAAGTAATATATTTAGATCATTATTTGATGTATAAGTTGCGACTTATTTTACCGTTGTTAAACTTTTATATTATATGCAATTATTTTAAATTTTAAATTTTTTATTTTTTAATCAATAAGATGTTAACATGTAATATAAATTTAGGTATTTATTTTCAAAAAAATATTTAAGGACTAAAACAAAAAAAATATATAGTTTAAGGACTTAATGCAAAAATCATAGTTTAATAATTTATTCTTACTTTAAGTCTTATATATATATATATATATATATATATATATATATATATATATATATATATATATATATATATATATATATATATACGAGTTAGGATCTATTTATACGTAAGGTAAAATTTCAAAATTTATATCTTTTTAAGATGAGTATATGAATGAAAATAAACGACTAAACTAATCTTTTTATTTATTTATTTATTTTTAATAAATAGATTAATTTTTATTATTAATCTCAACCAATCTATTTTATGTCTATGAGTTTAGATAGAGTGGATGCAAAGATGGAATGAGGAAAGAACGAGTGAGTGTAGTTGTCCCCTCAAACATTTCAAATTCTTTCGTATTTTAGATTTTTTATATAGTATTTTATTGATAATAATTTTTACCCTTAAAAATTATATATTTATTTTTAATATAAAATATTACGTTGGTCTGGGAGTGAATGCAAAGACAAAGAAAAGGATAAAAAACAGTGAGTGGCGAGCTAAAGCTTTGATCTTTGGTCCCGCATTCCACCATGTTGGCTAATTTCTTGTTTTCCAGAGGAGAACTTGTGTTAGAACACGTACATTCCATTGGAGAGCATGAGTAGTGGAACAGTTCAGGGAATTTCACTTGCATGGGTTTTCTTCTTCCAACCATGAATGACTCACAATTTTGTCCTTACTTTATGATGGGTAGAGAAAGGATGAAAGATCATCTACGCTTTCTATACTCATTATTCCATGCACGGATAGTTTAGGGAAACACACTTATTTCTTTCTTTTACCCAATTTCAGTGTATGTAAATTCATTGCATAGACCAGGATTGTTGCGCTCATTTTAGGGTTCGTTTGTTTCACACGAAACAAATTTCGAAATATAAATTTCATAAAAATAAATTATATTTCCTGATAAATAAATTTTAAAAATTATTTTACAGTATTTGGATGATGCATATAAATTATTTTTCACTTATCGGTACTTTTTTTTAGAAATTATTAATTATAAATATCAAGTATAATAAATAATACCATTTTGTCGAAATTGTCCCTGCTGGCTTTTTAGGGCTTTTTCGGGTATCGATCCAACTTAATATTGGGACATGTTGAGTTTTAAATAAATACATAAATATAAAAATTTGGAGTCGCCAACGACCTTTGGGTTAGGTAGGTTGAATACCTAAAAATATATTTTAAATTTATTTTAAGAAAAATAATTTTAAAAGATAAAAAAATTGATATGTGTTTGACCAGAGATTCACTTTGAAAAGGGTTCGAGAGTCGGTTGCGTGTGAGGAAAGATTAGCACCCTCACAACGCCCAAAATTGATACTTACACGATTACACATCATCTTAATATTAAAATTGACAAATTAGAATAACATTTAAATTATGATACTTTTTTAGAAAAATAAAATGGATGTTATTTTATACGTATAATCCTCGAAAACTAAAAAACAAAAATGCTAAATCCAAAAATGTATATTAATTTATTCTACTTTTTTCTTTTAGGAAAAAGTGATTACAAACTTCGAAAAGACTTGGTCGAAGCATTGCGTATGTACTAGATGTACCTAAAAGTACGTACAGGGTTATAACACTTTCCAAAGGTTATCCCTTTAAACAAATTCTAAATTTTAAAAACAAATAATTAATTTTATATTATATTCAGTTAAATTTGTAAAATGATTATTTTATTTAATTAAATTGGGATTCTTTAAAGAAAGATAACAACAGGTTGGGTTGTGCTGTAATACTGGTATATATTATTGTTCTTAGAACATTTGGATGCTTGATAATCTTTGATGGGGCACGAAAGCATATGGTTTGCAAAATTAATTTATAATTCCTTCTACAAAGAAAAAAAAACATAAGAACCTACTTTATTTTTTGCTTATATAATAAACAAGTATCATCTTCTTCATTTAATTACCTAAATTATTTTTGATCAAAATAAATATCTAAAGTTATATTTTTGATCAAAATAGACACCAAAAGTACTTTTGATCAAAATAGATACCTAAATTATTCAATTTTTTTACTTCTAAGTACTTAAAGTATTTTTTTAATTAATGTCACATGTCAAATTTTAATAACTTAGATGAAAAAATTTGAATAGTTTAGATATATTTTCTAACATAAAATATTTTATATACTTATTCTGAAAAAAAAAAGATAACTTAAGTATTTATTTTGACAAAAAAAATACTCTAAATACTCGAATGAAAAAGAAAACATACTTTAAATATTTATTTATAATATAACCCTAAATAATTGTATATATATTTCAGATAAAAGTATAGTATCTATCTAATCTAATAATTAAGAAACTGGCTTTTCTTAAAAAAGAAAACTAATATTCTTTTCAACGTATACTTGATTACGTGACGACTTTATTCTATAGTCCACCTTCTTAATGTACACTTTAAGTTGTTTTGTTTGTATTTTGTGTGATAAATAATAATACTTGCATCAGATTTCGTCATGACAAGAAAAGTAGGCATTTAATATGGCACAGAAAACCGAACAACTAATTAAAAATAAATAAAACGTAACTACTGTCGGAAAGATACTAGGAAAAAAGTGAAATTATAGTTAAGAACGTCTCTCTAGTTGAATGATTAACGAACATACTGTGGAAGAAACTTGTTAACCAAGTTATTTAGCTTAACAGCATGCACAAAGTCTTCTCAACTTTCTTCTATTCAATCCAATACTATATGCTCCCTTAAGCCAATCTCATCAATTCTTTTCAACTACCTTTCTTTATACCTAACAGATTATCGTAAAAAGCGAAACAAAGTTAATTGCCTCTTTTTTATCTGAACAAGTAAATTAAATATACAGCGACATAATCTACTCACAAGAGCTGTTTAAAAATTTTAAATTTACACGATAAAAGAATTATTATTATTTTTTAAAGTTTCAGATGATATTATAAATGTTAAAATATAAATCTTTAATATTATATGATTAAGAGTTATTTTTAAATAGATAACATCTTATATTTACATCAAATTAATAAACAATCTAAATATTAATTATAAAACATCTAAAGTTTAAGATACTATTATGGATTCATATTTGACTATTTAAAGATACATAAATATTTTTATATTATAACTTGTTAACTGAAAATATATGAAAATATATAAATATTAAATATAATAACAAGACACATATATTTTTAAAAATAAATTTAAATTATGAATAAAATATTATTAAGAAATACAGTTACAAGTATTTATATATATTTAAATGATGAGGTGTTAAATTTATAGTCCATCTTCTCCATTGGGCAAAAGAGCTGAAAGTAGTGGACAGCTCATGCTTGCGAAATAGACTTGACACCAACCTTCTCTACTACTCACTCACTTCCACCATTTTCTTTATTTTATATAATCCAACACTCTCTTTGACTCTTATTTTATTGTTGTAGTGAAATTAATAGCCTTCAATCACCTCCCCTTTCTTCTATATATTCTCTATCTGCATTTTCTAATTCACTGTTTTGGCAGCCATTACCAGAAAAAAAAAAAAGATCAGAAATGGCGTATGATAGGCTGCAACCATCACAACCTGGAGGTTCTACTCAGCAACAAAATCATGAAGAACACAAAGCTAGGAGTAACAAGAGAAAGATTGTTATTCTTTCGGTTATTGCGGTGACGATGATCATTGTTTCTGCTGTTTGTGCTGGTCTCGTAATTGGTCTCCGTGACGGCGGTGCTGACTCAATTGGCACCCAAGTTCGCCGTAAGCCCACCCAGGCTATTTCTAAAACCTGTAGCAAAACCCGGTTCCCTACTCTCTGCGTCAACTCACTCCTCGAGTTCCCTGGCTCGCTCACCGCTAATGAGCAAGACCTCGTTCACATTTCCTTCAATATGACGTTGCAGCACTTCAGTAAAGCTCTTTACACGACTACCTCGATCTCCAATGTCCAGATGGACCCACGTGTACGGTCGGCGTACGACGACTGCCTCGAGCTTCTGGAAGATTCAGTCGACTCCCTCTCCCGTTCCCTCTCCTCCGTCATTCCTTCTCAAGAAGGCGGGTCCACTCAGGACGTGATGACGTGGCTCAGCGCTGCTTTGACGTACCATGACACGTGTACTGAGGGATTCGAGGGTGTGAGCGGGACGGTGAGGGATCAAGTGACCGACAAACTGAAGGACTTATCGGAGCTAGTGAGTAACTGCCTTTCGATCTTCGCCGCGAGCGGCGGAGACGATTTCGCTGGAGTACCGATTCAGAACAGACGGTTGCTATCGTCGGACGACGATTTATCGGGAGAGAGTATCGACGAGGAGAATTTCCCGAAATGGCTTGGGAGAAAAGAAAGAGAGCTGCTAAGCACTCCCGCGTCGGCGATCCAGGCCGATGTAATCGTATCGAAAGATGGAAAGGGCACCGTTAAAACAATTTCTGAGGCGATCAAAAAGGCGCCGGAGCATAGTAATCGGCGTTTCATCATCTATGTGATGGCAGGAAGGTAAAAATTTCGGTTATAATTAAAGATAAAAATTTACTGCAACTTTTTTTTCCTATTGGCTCAATTTTCCATAAAACTCGTTTACTTTCCGTTACGACTATTATTTTATAGCTGAAAATGACCATATTTCCCTTGCATGATAGTTCGTTGCTTAATTCTTTTAAGGGTAAAATATATAAATCCATTTCTCGACTATACTGGTTGAATGACTCAACTATTAAAAGTTATAAATAGTCTAGTTATTGTTTTGTTGAGTTTTTCGATTATTAAAAGTTATAAAATGATCACTCGATTATTTATATGTTTCAAAATCGTCTGAGTTGGACAATAACATGTTTAATGGAATATGATAGTCGTTTTAGATTTCGTGTTAAATTTTATCATATGTCAGTTAGTAGGTTAACGTCCAACTCAGATTATAGTCAAAAAAATTTTAAAAAATGATGATATTAGAATACTGAATAGTCAGGTGACAATTTTGTAATTTTAAATAATCGAGAGACTCAATAAAATAGTATCTATAGTTAATGGACCTTTTTGTAACTTTTAATAGTTGAAGGACTCAACAAAATAACACTCTATAGTCGGGAGACCGTTTGTGTACTTTACCCTTCGTTTAATTAATTTATTGGTTAATATTTTCTTTAGGTGGGTGTTTTCGCTTTTTTATTGGATTTAAAAAAAATTTAATCAATTAAATTGATTATTTTAAATTTTATATTGAATGTATTATTAAATATAATCTTCAGTGAAGATTATACGCTTTTGATATATAATATATTTAAATTTTTTTACTTATGATAAATTATCATAAATTTTAAAATATTACTGTTTTTACATTGGAGACGGATAAATTACAAAGGTACGAGGATAAAAAATTTAGTATAAAAAAAACTTTTACTGTATATTACAGGTACGAAGAGGATAATTTGAAGGTGGGGAGGAAGAAAACAAACTTGATGATTATAGGTGACGGAAAGGGTAAAACAGTCATTGCCGGAAGAAAAAGTGTATCCGACGACTTTACCACATTTCATACTGCAGCCTTCGGTAAGTTAAGTTTACCCATGGTCTAATAAAATTTTTAGCTATTAGATTTTTTTAAATATTTTAATTCTTAAATTTTTATTAAATTAATTCAAAAATTATTTAAAAATAAAAAATTCATTAAATTAACTTCAATATTAACGAAAATTATTATCTTTTTATACAAAATAGAATATGTTTTAAATATTCCTATTATTAAAATTTTAAAAAATTATAAAATATTATAAAAATTGAAACTGTAAAAATATAAAATTAATGGAAGTTTATTATTCTTTCAATTAGCTTAATATAATAAATAAACAAAACTAAAAAAAACAAATTTAAGAGATTAAATAAGTTTTTTAAAGTTTAAAATAAAAATATTATTAGACTTTTTCTATTGAATTAATATTCTTTTTACAAACCTACATAGTCGCTCACCAAACTGCAAATTGTAAACATAAATCAAGGGATGAATTCCTAATATTCTTTGCTTTTTCTAATTATCAACGTAGCGAGATTAAATATTATTTCTTGAGAAAGATTAAAAAATTAAAATTAGATATCATTGTAATAAATCAAATTGATTTGAGAGAATCATCTTATAATAAACTTTTATAATACATGAATCAAATTAATTGATCACAAATACCAATAGCGATACCAATATATATATATATATATTATAATTTATCAACAAATATAACATTATTTTTGGAAAAATAAAATAAAACTATTGGACATAAAACCATTAAACAAGTCCATGGCACATGATGTAGAAATCGCACGTGGGATGCTATTAGACAGACAAAGTCCCTAGATTCATGGGGCCAGATCACGTTACCTTATCTACTTCCTTGTCCATACAATTCGAAATTAAAAAGTACTAATCATACATTTTTTGGTACATAGTATTAAACTATTAATCATACTTAGATGTATTATATTGTTTTTTGTATTTATTAATTACGTCATATTTGTAAAACAAGTATATTTAGTTGGTTGATCAAATTATTTATCTTTGTTTTTTATATTAAATTATTGGGTTCTATATTCATTAGGAACACTTCTATTCTTTTTCCTAAAGTTCTATTTTAATATTTAAATTTAAAATTTATTAAAAAAATTATATCTTATCTGTATAGTATTTTTATATCTTGCTTAATGTTGAAAAGTGAGTGCTGACTAGGATTGAGGCTGAAGCTCTAATTAGAATGAACAAAAATGTTCTTGTTCCCTTCTCTTTCTTTTCAGAAAAGATGTCTTTGTAACCCAATTATATTTAAAACCATATGATAAAAAAATAGAAGTGATATTAATGATTAATATTATTGGATCATGTGATGAAAATTTTGATATTTTATCAAACATCGGTAGGACATACCATATATTGTTATCGAACGATAAAAAGACAAATTTTTTTTAGTAAATTTCGTTCTTACCAAATTTTATAATATTTGCTTCATTTTCAGTGAAAGCTGTATAATTGATTGCTTTGTTTCCATCCAGCGGCAACCGGATCTGGTTTTATTGCAAGGGACATGACATTCGAGAACTACGCTGGACCAGCCAAGCACCAAGCGGTAGCTCTTCGAATCGGGGCTGATCATGGCGTCGTATACAGGTGCAACATCATCGGATACCAAGACACTTTGTACGTTCACTCGAACCGCCAATTTTACCGTGAATGCGACATTTACGGTACGGTGGATTTCATTTTTGGTAATGCCGCGGTGGTAATCCAGAATTGTGACATTTACACCCGAAAACCCATGGCCTCGCAGAAAAACACTGTAACTGCCCAAAACCGAAAAGACCCGAACCAAAACACCGGCATATCGATCCATAAATCACGGATCCTTCCCACACCGGATCTCACTGCCTCCAAAGCTAACTTCCCGACATACCTAGGCCGCCCCTGGAAGATGTATTCCCGGACGGTGTTCATGTTAACATACATGGGTGACCACATTCACCCAAAGGGATGGTTGGAATGGAACGGTAATTTTGCATTAGATACATTGTACTATGGTGAATACAAGAATAACGGGCCGGGTGCGGCGGTCGGACAACGGGTAACATGGGCCGGGTATAGAGTCATCACTTCAGATACCGAAGCAAGCAAATTCACTGTTGCACAGTTTATTTATGGATCTTCATGGTTACCATCAACCGGGGTTGCTTTCATGGCTGGCCTACAAGTTTAAAGTTAAATGCTTCTTCTAATAGTATGAAATATAAATTTATGGTTCTAATTTTTTACCCCATGGTATTGAAATAACTAATAAGGGTTGATTTTAACTCCTGCATGTTATGGAAGGTTATAGGGAATTACTGTATTTTGTATTTTTATGTCAGCAGTAGTGTACATTTTAAATACGAATATGATACGTATCACTTTAATAACATAAAACACATATTCTATCCATTTGCATTTTCTTTTCTAAATTCTAAATAAATTAGGTTCCTTGCGCGCAAAGTATAGATTAAGTTTTGGAAAGGTTTGGGGCGAATTTGTGTGGAAATTCGCGGAGGAGTGGTCTGAACGTAGGCAACGGAAAGACGATTAAGTTCTGGAAGGATCCCTGGTTACGTGAAAATGGACCATTGATAAATCATGTGCCGAAAGAAAAGTCCATCGCATCCATGGTTCACGGGGAAGGTGAATGGAAATGGAATGAACTCGAACCGCTGCTTCCGAGTGCAATCTTAGTAAGAATAGCGGCTTTTAAACCACCACTCACAGCATTTCAGACGATTTGATTTGCTGGAAATGGCAGGAGGATGGAAAATTTTCAGTCAAATCCGCATACCAAGTATGAACAAAACAACGAACGACAGAATAAATGCAGGTGTGGAAGAACATTGCAAAGTTTAGAGGTCTGCAACGAATTAAAACGTTTATGTGGCATTTGTTTGAACTTGTTTTTCTTTTATATCTTCCTCTGTTTTAGAGTTTGCAAGTCACTTGACATTCAAACACATTAAGTAAAATACTACCCTATGAGGTTATGAACAATGAGTAAATTTTAATCTTGAAATTCGTTCAATATCAACCGAATTAAATGCTCTCTTGAGAATCAAAGCTCTAGCCTCTTTGACAATTGATAAGATTGAACCCTCGTAAAACAAAGACCCTTGATCCTAATCTAAAAGATACACTCGAGCATCATATCCTTCTCTTGTAGGGACCAAGATAACCTTCTCCTCTCACAAAGGGATGATCAAAGGGCTTGGCATTTAGGTATGTATAGGAGCAGACAAAATGGGACATCTTTCATATGAGGTTGCAAAGTAGATTAGATTACACTTTGGTTGAGGATGTTCAATGATGATTATAATCTTCACAGATGAAATAGTGGACTAGATGAATCTAGTTTAGGTCAATTGCTTATGAATTAAACTCTAAAGATGAGATTTTCTAACCTTCAATGACACCTTGACTATAATAGGGTTTTCTTCAATGAGCTAAAGAAATTGAACAAGTATACCCAAAAAGTTTATAAAGTATAATCATAAATTAAATACAATAAAGCTGAGCTATCCTGCTAAAGCATTTGGTTGTAGAGGCAACTCAAAAGCCATAGCTTTATGAATAGATTGCATTCAAAATGTGACATCGATCGGAGACTTGGTGATTCGGTGTTTGCTCCACTGTGGTTGTCAAGTCGAAGACTTTGTGACAATGTGAATAATTTAGCTAGCCAAATAAAGGAAAATGAAATTAAAATTAATAAATTCAAGGAAATGCCAAGTTTGAGATTGTAATTAAATAAGGAGTTTTTGTGAAAATAAACTAAGGGAGTTAAGGAACACCTGTTATAGTCAATTTCACACAAGAACTCAAATATTTTGTTTTTAGACCGATATTTCTGGACTATCTATGCTAGAGGAGTCTACAAAACTTGAACAAATGGAAGATTTTAGAGAACTGAAATAGAGGTGTTCTAAAATGTCTAGCAATTGAGTATTCTAGTGACATTATTTTGTCTGCATTCGATCAAAATGCCAATCCAAGAATGAGGAACATGTCACAAGGTTCACATGGACAGAGAAAAGAAAGACACTACAACCATAGAAAATTTAATAAGCTAACCTAAAATCAACTAGCCAAATCTTGACACTTGTCAATGAATCATAACTTTGAAAAATTAAAAGAGTAATTGATTCTTTTGATACTAAATGAACTATTGTTTTATAATTTGTTTCAATTGTGAACCCAAAGTAAGGGACATCATTTTTTCAAAAACTTCATTAAACATTTTTTAAAATTCTTTCATCAATCATTTTTTTTTCAAAATTCTTTCATTAATTCTTTCATAAAACATTTTTAAAACTTCTTCATCAAACTTTTTTCACTTATTGAAAAACAAAAGGAGGAAGAAAAACATTTTCAAACAAAACAATCTCTCTAGAGTAGATCTTGTCAATTAACAAATGTCTCTCAGACATAGAAACTCATGCTCAGAACTAGAACAAGAAAATATGAAATCTCGGGGACAAATCAAAACTGGGACAAGAAGAGAAAATTGGCCCAAGTCAAGAATTACAAGGGATGCCTCGTGTGTGACCTCAATCAATCGAATCATTTTAAGAAGATTCGACCTTCGTAAAAGACATGATTTTGTGATCAATTTAGAAGCAGTAATAAGCATATTGGTTACCGTGGCTAAGATCCAAATAGTATAGGGACTTGGCTACCGTATAGGGACCAAAGCCACCAAAGTGGACAATAGGGGAAATTTCATCTGCTATGACTGAAGAGTGTTCACTAAAAAACGATGAAGTCTTAGTTCCCAGTTTGAATCAAGAAAACATGCATCAACATAGACATACATAAATTTGCATCTTTGCATCAAACATTCATCATCACATACAACATAATAACCTTTGATTTCCCTCTCGCAATGATGCTTTTAAAATTTCTCTTGAAATTTTATTTAATATAAGACCATTTTCAGCTCTCATGAGAAAATATTTAAAAGCTCATTTTCAAGAAGATCAAAAACATCATATGAACTTCATTTTGACATTCTTGAAAACTTCCAAAATAGCTGAATTCACACATGCACATTTTTTTTTCAAGCCTTTCAGGTCAGAAAGGATCAATGACAATTAGATCTCCTTAACACGAAGGAGCAATATTGTTGTCTTCGACAAGTAAGTTATCTAAAGGCAATCGGGTCTCGTCAAACAAGAAGGAACATCATTGTCTTCAAATCTGACTTCCACAAGCGAAGAACCAAATCATCCGTATAAGACTAGCCGTCCTCATCACGAATGAACAAAGACATGAATAAAACAACAATTGTTTCATTTGAGATTATTTCCCTTGAGACAAAATATTCATCTTGTTCAAAAAAGTTTCCCTCAAAATAAATAAATAATTCTTTTGAGAATGTTTCTTTCTCTTGAAAGTATAACTTCTAGCATTATAAAGTTTAATTCTTTTGAGAATGTTTCTTTTCAAACAAGATCCTGAAAATCCATCTCAGTGGTGGATCAATCATCTTTCAAACAAGATCTCGAAAATCCATCAAAAGTTAGTTCAACAAGAGATTTTCTCAGTGTAATCTTGGTCTCACAAATTCTTGACATGTGGGCATTTTGTGCACACAATGGAGGTTTGTTCAACGAGGATAGGTAATAATTCTACATTTAATGTCAAACCAGACTGGTATAGTGTAACTGTTAGAACCCTTGTTAAATGTGTTGGTCACTTGAGCTGAAAGTGAAATCCGAGGAAGAAAAATGGCTTAACGGTGATTCATATTTGCATTAAACTTCCATATTTTTCTTCAGCAACAAGGGTAAGAAAACTTCCTTGGAAAACAGATTTGACAATGGCGAATGTTCATATCTTCTAAAAGAACATCTATATAAGCAACTTTGTGAACTCCATTGATGACCCACCCACCAAAACTCCCAAATCTTAGTGTGAGCTTGAAGTTTCTGCAGATTTTGACCCAATGATAATGTTAAAAATTCTCTTTATGTCTTTGAACTGGTTATTAAGTTAAATGGTTTTCCTTTTTGGATTTCATATTATGAAATTCGAATTTTCAACTTTGACTGAAAATAGGTTCTTGATTGATGAAGTTTGTCTGAAATGAGTGCGGGGTTTATTCCAATTGAAATTCTACACGCTAATGGAACTAAAAAGCCCGAAGAAGCCACAAAAAATGTTTCGCAATAATCCTTTTCTTCATGTACACAAATGGCTTATTATTTCCGGGAAGAAATGCTTCGATCAAGGGAGGACAAAGTCCTGGTGTAGGGTTGAAAGAATGCTTGAAGAGTGAAAAAAGCAGGAAAGACAAGGATCCCACATCTTTAATAGGTAAACAAGTGCATCCCAAGTAACTCTATAAAAGAAAGCGCAAATCACACATTAGAACTCTTGGAGCTCTCCGGTGAGCGCAGAGTGAACTATTTTTTCGCCTTTTACTAAAGAATACCGTGTGCTCGCAACCTAAAGCGGTATACGTCTATTTTTTATGGGCCTTCCTTTAAGAACGGCCTCAACAATTTCTGGTCTAGAAAGTATTTGTTAACAATGGGAAATTACCTCTACAAAGTAGTTTTTCCAGGTAATCAAGTTTAGATATTCTTTGTTTCTTCCGTTATTTGTTTAAACATACGTTGTTTAGTTTTGAACATCATAATCCAAGATTAACAGCAATTGAAAGTAACTGTCGACTTCATCAGCGTGCATAAAGCCGGTTGGAGGGAAATTAAAATCTTATTGGGGAAGGGGGAATTCGTAGTCATTTAAAAAAAGAAGATAAGAAATAGATAAAATTCCACTTGAAAATAAAATATATATATATATTTTTTTTAATTTAATAAGTACACGTATAAACATATAGACAGTAAGTTGCAATTCTGGTACTTTATCCAATATTATTAACTTAAATCAGAATACTTAGGCTTAATCATAAAATAGGTATCTAATTTTTTTTGATTTAACCAAGTCTTTAACGTTACAAACGTTATTATTTTTAGGTGTCTGAATCGTAACTGTCGTTAAAAATCTGCTAAATAGTATGTGTCATATTATGATAATTTTGATTTTTTTTAAAAATAAAAATAATAAAAATATTTTTTTATTAAAAAATCCCAAAATTTTAGAAATATTAAAAATTCTCAAAACCTTGAAAACCTAATTTTCATCTTATGCCTATATCGATCGTCGCTTTGACTATCGTTGTCATCGACCGAGCCTACTCTCGAACACCCCTCCACCCAACGATCATTTAACTCCGAACAAACCTAAAAACACATCCGACGATAAAGTCAACGGTGGAAAAAGAGTGAACCAAGAGGTGGAGGAGAACTAATACAATGAAGCCACATAGCAACAAAAATTACAAAACCCAAACCACAACGAAACTCACACAATCACCCATACATACCAAATAGCAGGAAGAATTAGAAATAAAGAGGACATCAAAAACGAAATTCAGGCGAACTCAGTAACAAAGGGGACAATTCGAAAACAGAAGCTGGAAATAGAATCACCAAAACTGCTGATCACTGCATAACACCATGAATTCCTCGATCTACAAACCAGCATGCATTATAACATAAACAATCCTATAGGATCCATTGATCCTAAATTCAGTGAAAAATCTCCTAGAACACAACCTAAAACTTCCGACAATCACACACCAAACTTAATGGCACTGATACTCCTTATCAACAAAAGTAAGGCACCTTTTCTTCAAATCCGAATCTGATAGAGATGTACCAGATAATTCAGAGGAATTTAGATCAGATTTCAGCAAGTTGAATCTCTTCAACGCTCGATCTCTTTTTAATTTCTCAGCTTTAGAGAGTACTTTGTCCTAAATATCCAATAGCGAGCCAAATTTCTGTTGCTTCCTATTCATCCTATTGGTCAGCACCTTTTCACTAGAATGAACAGAAATATTCATTATAGGAGATTTGGACAAAGACCCCTCTGCCACTGTTGATAACAGCTCTGAACTCGGCTTATCCAAAAACACTTAAAATGGTAATGTTTGCAACGTTAGACACCTAAATGAATAAAAAAAATTAAACATCTATTTGAAAAAATCGTATAATTTAAGCACTTATTTTATAATTAAGTCAAATATTTAATAACCCGACGATACATTTATACACTTCTATTTCGAGTACACCCAAAGGAGTTGTAGACAATCAAACAAAATCCAATTCATGAAATAATTTGATCTATGTTGAATATTATTGTGATAAAAGACATAATACTATAATCATCATCATCACAAAACATAAAGTTTTAAAGTTTTTCCTTTCAAAAAATAGTAGTGTCGAAGTTTTAATAACATAAAATTTATATCATATTATAGATTATAATGAGAATTTAGTCTTAAAAAATTCATCATAATTACTATTATAATAATGATCAAATAACATTACAATTATTTATAATAGTAGTGTTGAACGAAATTTTTTGTCATAAACATCTTAATATTTATTATAAAATTTCTTTTAGTTACTGTCAATAAAAACTTTTACCGTTGTATTGAAACGTTGTTTGAAACACTCACTTTGTACAAAGATCACAACATAAAGTGAAAAGAAGACCTCCTCCATAGACGTCTTCTTACAATTGCAAACAGATCCATTCCTAGCAAACCATAAGGACCAAAAAACTGTTGCACAACACGATAACCACCATTGCTTCCCCCACTCCCAAAGAACAAGTAATGAAACCCCTGAACTAAAAATTCATCCAGAAAGCGAGGTTGAGAAAATTTAGAAATATGAAAGACCAAGTTTATGGTTATTACGTACCATGATTTCGTAGCAAAACTCATTATTCTTCCTTCTTCATCAAAAACCAGTAACATCAAAAGCATACAAGAGTGTTCGGCTCGTCTTCAAGCTTCAGATCGCTTACCGACAAAAAGATGAGCCGAAGCAATATCACGCCATGTCTACTCCGATTTGCTTCTATGAGCTTTTAAGTTGTACATCAACTCAACTGCCTTATCCCTATAAGTAGGAGATGAACCAAAGGGTTTTTAAGACCCTACACTGTTGATGGCAGGCCCTAAGCATATGGAATTTTATCATTATCACGATTAAGATTAAGGCATGCCCACTACCAATCACTTTTATAGATATTGTTGGACCAATTATTTGCCAATCTTAGCATTCATTTCCGTACTTGAATCATAGAACCCCACATTGGATGGAAAATTGATACCAAGAGGTTTAAATATAGTATTACTTTCCTCTGCGTTTATACTTTATAATTAGTTCTTTGCTTCCTGCTCATCGTTGTGCATAAGAATAATATTTTTTGAACTAAATTTTCTTATTTTTAAGAAAGATAATATCAATTGTTTTTTATTTCATAATTTGAGTATACAAATTTTAAACAACTATGTTAATCTTAAAAATAAGTCTGATTTAATGCTTATATGGATTAAAGAAAAATAATATCAATTGTTTTTATTTCATAATTTGAGTATACAAAATTTATTTAGAATTAAGTTTTTTGGTTTGACTGTTGTGATGTCCAAAGGAGTTCGATTATGTACTTGTTGTGCACGTTAGCAGAACAGTGTCTTGGGGTGATATTGAGTTGTTGTTAGAAAAAAAAACGCCGTTTGTGGAGTGGATGGCGTTTTGATATCCTGGTCTTAGCGTCCCTCGTTTTGTCCAAATTTTTTAGTGTTGGTTGGAGTTTGTTTTGGTGAAACTGGTAGCATGATTTCCTTTTGTAATTGTAATATGGTGCGTGTAAAGTGGGTTCTTTATTGTCCAAGATTCAATGGCAAAGGAAAAGCTTAAAAAGTTTCATGTTTTTATGTTGGTGTTGTTCGTGTTTTATAGAGGTCTTAGACAACTATGAATTGATGAATGTTAGTGTGATATTTTTTTTCTCCGGTACGGTATAGAATTAAGTTTTCCGTGGTATTTTGAATTTGTTGTGTTTTTCATTGTTGTCTGTTTTGAATTTGGTGTTTCGAGTTATCTTATTGTTCTTTGATGATAGTTTTCGGATTTTATCTAGTTGTATTGTATTCTTTTTCTCTATATAAATTTAAGAAAGTTTTTAACGAGACATACAACTTAAGCTTTGAAATGATTTAGTTATATCCTTAATAAAAAAATAATTGCCAAGAAAAAAATATAGATTAAAACTAATTTACTTCGGCCATTGATATAGTAAAAATGAACATGTTATATTTGGCTTTAAAAATTAGCAAAGTTGAAAGTTGGCAAAATTGAAAGTTGGCAAATTTGAATGTTGGCAAAATTGAAAGTTGGCAAAGTTGACATCTTTGGTCGGTGGCTAACTTGTACACATTGAAAAATTCTTTGGTAGGTGGCCAACTTATTTTTCATATTTGATCCCTAAAATATTAGGTTATTTATAAGTTTAGTCCTTAAAACTCAACTATAAATAGGCCTAAGTATTTCATTAGAAATCATCCCAAAACAAGTTCTCTCTTCCTTTTGTTTTCTTCATTCTCTCACTTTGGGAATTCTAACGAATTCCATTTGTTGTAATATTTGTTGATAGTGAAGTTATCATCCGGTGTGGTGCCCGATGAGTAGACGATATTCTCGTCGAACATCGTAAATTTGATGTGTTCTCTCCTTTATTGTTTTTTATTCGGTTTTTCTATTGTGTTTCAATATTAAATAGTTTGACGGGTTTATCCACTGTACAACCTTTGGTGGCTTTTATTTTGACATTTGAGGTCAATTTTGAAACTACGTTCGTGTGGGAAATAACCCGGCTTCCCCAATAATTGGTATCAGAGTTTCGGTTGAGGTTATTCTGGTGGTCCCGTTGCTGAAAAGATACAGTTCGTGCTATGGAATATTGTTCGTTAGAATTAAAATGCCAAAATACGGATCAGTTGAGACATCAAGCTCTTCATTTGGACCGGTGAGGAGGAGGATGTCAAATGCAAATTTCTCGGTGGAGTTGTTCGATGGATCCGATCATTTTGGCATGTGGCAAGGCGAGGTGTTAGACGCTTTATTCCAACAAGGTTTAGACATCTCCATTGAGGAAGAAAAGCCTGAATAAATGGAGGAGAAAGAATGGGGAACAATCAATCGTTTGGCGTGTAGCACGATTCGATATTGTCTTTCCAGAGAGCAGAAGTATGGCTTTAAGAACGAGACTTCTGCAAGTAAGATGTGAAAAGCATTGGAGGAAAAAATCCTAAAGAAAATCTCTCAGAATCATCTCCACATGAAGAAAAGATTGTTCAGATTTGATTATAAACCAGGAACCAGTATGAATGAACACATCACTGCGTTCAATGAGCTAGTGGAAGACTTATTGGGCATAGATGAAACCTTCAAAGATGAAGATTTGGCCTTGATGTTGTTGTCATCTCTTCCAGATGAATTTGAGCACCTTGAGACAACGTTACTTCATGGTAAGGATAATGTTACCCTTAAAGATGTAACTGCTGCTTTGTATAGTTATGAGCTCAAGAAGAAAACAAATAAGGAGAGCAAGTACGAAGCAGCGGAGGCCATA